TTTATCTAATAAGTTTAACCTTAGGGTCAAGCCACTGTGGTAAGACTCAAAACGTATTTCTTGAATGAGATATACATTTGAACACCTTAATATTAATATTAATGTTAATATTAATATTAATTGAACACCTTTACAAAGCAAAGAACCAAGCCTCAAATCTCCACTACATCTCTCCCCCTTCCCTGTTCCTTAGAGAACCCCCAGAAGCTGTCCAGCAGGAGGCAAAGCTCTCATCCCCTTTGTCCAGGCCAAGTTTATCTTTGGGAGGCTAAGGCAAGAGCACTGCAAGTTCAAGACCAGCCTGGGATAACTTAGCAAGACCCTGTCTCAAAATACTCTTTTAAGATATTTTAAAATTTAGCTGCAAGGCCCTAGGTTCAATACCCAAAACCTCCAGTTATATCCATGCGCGCGCACACACACACACACGCACACACACACAGAGTGAAGTGTGAGAATCTTCACAGTGTGAAGATTCTAAATGAAACTGCTTTTTACACCCCAAAATGTCAACAATGATGACTCCAATGTTGGGTTGTATATCTTGTTCTAGAGGACCTTCCTCAGACAAGGGACAGCAGGAGAAACTAGATAAGAAAACCTGACTCCATCAAGAAGCAAAGTGAGTAGGTAATACTATGAAATGGTGACTTTTCTGATTTTAAGCTATTTAATTAGACTTTAAACCAAAAAATGGAGCCATGAGCTTTTTCCCCTAAGAAAGGAAAAAAGAGCAGAATCACTTTTGTGTTTGTCATGAAGCAGGTCCACTGAGCATCTTCTGTAAATGTTAAATAATGATCACGTCACATCAAATACGAAAATCCCTTATTATTTATTAAATGGATCCCTGGCTCATGAGAAGCCTTTTGAATGAGGTTCTCAAAGGACTGTATAAATGCTCTCTCATTATCATTCACCCACAGTTGAAAGGTAACTATCTTTATCTCCATTTCGGAGTTAGGGGTTAACAGAAAGGTGAAGCAAATTATATAAACTTATACTGAAAGTCTGAAAATGATAGAGGCCAAAATTTGTTATCCCTTGAGGACTAAAAGCCTTTCTTTGAAAAATTAAGCAACTTACCTAATTATTTTTAGGGCTAGATCTCACATAAATATAATATTTTATGCTGCACGTGACAGTATAGAGAGAGAAGTCACAAGATAATAACTGTGCTAACTAAAAAATCAGTGTGATTTCCAGAATCCTTTCTATTCTCTGTAACCACCCATGTGGCTGGAGATTTGAAATGCTATTTAAGTCTCATTTTCCTTCAGAAGCTAACCTCTGTGGAATAAAATGCTGTTAAGGGGGAAAAAAATCTTTTCTGTCATTTGACTTTAACTTATGATAAATTAGCTTCAACTAGTTTCTTAGAAAATTGCCCAAGAAATGACTACAGAAAATTAAATACCAAGACTTCAAAGAGGCAAACACACAGCCTTCAATTCCAACCTCAGAGAATAATCTTCCCTTTCTCATGCTTCACAGAGATGTGAGTAAAGAAATCGTACTAGGGCATGGTAATGAACCATCTTTCAAATGACTTCCCTATCAATCTTCTTTTCAAAGGGTAATAAAGTGATGATTATTTCTAGGCAGTTTCTGGGAAGTTATCATCTCATTTCAATAGTCACCAGTAAAGGACGCACTCTGGTGCTACCATCAAGAGTGACAAGGGCAGGAGGTGGGTGAGAATTCAACAGTAGGTGTAGGTGGCTAAAAAAGCTATTTCTTAGAAAATTAAAACAGAGAGATCAAAAGAACTGTGTTAGGTCTTAAAGAATTGGTAATCATTTCCTTCTAGATTAAAAATGCAAATCTGATTTATTACCTAGCAAATGAATGAAATCCACCGTCACTGGAAGGCTTTGTCATTTCTTTTAAAACCAGTATTGCTGAAAGCATATTAGGAGCCATGCTTTGTTCTAGATGCTGATGACTCAGAGTGTGACAAGCCATAAGAGCAACATGTCATGACTTCTAGAACCACAGTTCTCACTCTCCTCTAAAATAACTGTCACAAACTACAAAAGGCTTTTAAAGAGTTGAGTGAATGATTGTTGAGAAGTCTTAGCCACCCAGGATTTGTTTTGCAAAGCCATAAAAAAAAAAAGGTTCAGAAATACTCATTGCTGTATGAAATTTCACTCTTCAGAAGCTCTAAGATGGCAAGGGCAAAAGTCACCCCAGGAATGGGCAGCCTCACAGAAAGAAAAGCTTATGTATTGGATGCTCGGGGAGGGAATACCCTGAATCCTGGCTCTCTCTGGTCCAAAGGTTCAGATCCCATCTGTGATACAGGCTTTCTGCTCAGAAATGGACCACACAGTTCCTCAGGCATCCCTGAAATCAGCCGAGCTCTATGCTATTTGCCTTAATTCTTTTCCCAATCTTGAGTCTACTGTCTGGGCAGGTAGGATATGGGCCACAGCTCCAGATTTGACATTTTCCCTCATGACTCAAATTTTTCAGCACTTAATAGAAATCTAAAAGTGAAACCAATTAAAAGACAAATGACACTGAGAGCTGAGGGCCACAATATGCTATGTTCACTGTTGCATCTTCTTTAATGCAGCTCAGAAAAAGACACTCGATAAACTGTTGAACAAAACTGACAGAATGGATATACCTTTGCTTTGTGATCATGAATCACTCAAGGAATATCACACCACATGCAAGCAATCCCAGCGAACTTTGCCTAGCAGCTCATCTTTTAAAATTGTTGTTCTGAAGATTTTTTCTTAAAATTAAAAAGAAAAAAAAAAGCACATCACAGATAATTGAAATCAAATTGTATTTGCTTTCAAGTTCTGTTCCAGATAACAAGAATTGGGTCAATAAACTGATGGCTCTGGTTTGACTTTTGGATAGGCAAACTCTGTTTCCACCATGTAACCCAGAACTGAAATGAGCACCAAAATTCTTATTGATTTATAGAATAGGTTTAACCCTCCCAAAAACTATTAACTATTTATCCTCATTACCAACCAAGAAATAACATAAATTCCCTGCTTCCCACCAAGACCAAAGCAAAAGGGATAAAAATTAACCCTCCTATTGGTTCAAACTTAGAAGAATCAGATGCAAATATTGGCCAACTAAATCTTTGGCTTTCCACCCCACTATGTGATATTTTCCCTGAAGTAACATATGAATGCATGAGTAGAGATTTTAAAACACAAACTCAGAAGTGAGACAAAAGTCAAAAGACAACAGGCAAGCTGAAAACTGTGGGCAGAGTGCCAGTAAGGAAAGACAAGCAAGAGGAGAGAAGATGCCCAGGCCCCTCCCCTCCACTTGGGTACAAAGCTCATGGGTGTTCTAGGGTCGGGTGACAGGCACACCACACACGTGCTATCCAGGATTCCAGAGACTTCTGCTTCAAGCCACAGAAACCAATGACAGTTTCAAGGCAGACTGGGACTCCACAGTGGACAGACACACACCTGCAGAAAGTGTTATCAGCTGAAACCACCTCCTTCTTTACAGGATACGGCTCACAGTATTTACCCAGTACCGTAGCATACATGGCTTTGGAAAAGGGACAAGTGTTACACACTGTGATTTAGTCAGCTCCCTAGTGTTCCTGAGCTTCAGGGTAGGGAACCCTTTCTCTAAAACTTTCAGTTTTTGTTCTCTTGTAAAGACAAATTTTAAAATACAATGTAAGCGTGTTAGGATTAGAGGCCCCTTTTCCACCTTCTTTTTCATTTACACTTATCAATCTTATATTGTTTTTCTTTGCATCATCTTGCAACTGTTGTTATTTCCTGATTCCTCGTTATTTTTAGCAGATCTTTCCTTTTCAGTTCACTAGCTGCAATCTGGTCTTCCAGGTCTGAAAGTCTGTCTTCACGTTCGTTGACATGGTCTTGCCAGCTTTTGATGGAATTTTTTATTTCCTGGACATCTCTTTCAATCTGTTTCATGCATTATTTCTTTCTTATATTGTTCATTCAAGGTTTCCATCTTTTGGCAGTGCTCCTCAACTTTTAACTATTTCTCCTTTAGATATGTTCAGCATTTCTTTTATTATGTTTATCATTTCTTCTTTTATCTGAGAGATTATTTCTGATCTGAGTTCTTTATAGCTTCACGGAGTTCTTTACTTGAGTTGCTACCATTTCAGATGTTTTAGATGTATGGCTTACATTTTCTTTTATATCCATGTCTCCTAGGCTTGTTTGGGATGGGCTAGAGGTTTGAGATTACATTTTACTCTTTCATTTTGTCATTTTCCTGTGTTCCCCTGGAGAAGCTGAATGCAAGATCTCACTTGCTTCCTGAGTTGAGGATATCTGCCCATACTGCAGGGAGTTTCCCCAGTTGAATGAAGATCTTTAGTCAGGCCTTACTAGGTCCCTAATGGCACTTGAAGGCTCCTCAAATGTGAGGAATATGCTGGGTGGGCATTCAGCACATCTCACGTGATACTGTGAGGCTTCCCAGCTACTTGAGATTGCTGGGCACCACTCTGCCAGGTTCTGAGTGGCATACCAAGGCTGAACAGCTAGATGGAGTACACCATGCAGGCCTTCAGCTCATGCCACATAGTGCACCAAAGCAATGCAGCTGCTTAGAATCACTGAGTGGGGCCTTGTCAGGTTCCAAGTGAGGTACTGAGGTTCATGGCTGGATGAGGTTCAGGTGATTCCCTGGCCACTCAGGGTCACTGGGTGGGGCCCAACCAGGCCCTGAGGGACCCACCTGAAGGTCCACAGCTATTTGGGGATACCGGTGGGGCCCTACCAGGTTCCAAGATACCGAGATTACACAGCTGGATGGGGTTTGCTGTGTAGGCCTTAAAGATCCCTTTTTTTTTCTTGCAGAGAAACTTGAAATTCTTACATCCTATGACAATACTCACTCCTATCTAGATTTGATCAGTACACTTGCTGAAGATTAGCACACTCAGGAGTGTGCACTTCTCAATGCAAATACACCCTCCTCCCACTGTTGCCTTTCAAAGCCTTGTATCACTGGACAGGAAAGAATAGGAACTCAAAGAACCTTTTAATGTACATATGTGTATATATATATATATATATATATATATACACACACAAAAGTACAATCTGGAGGTAAGGTGGTGAACAACAACAGGGGCCAAAGTCTGCACGCACAGTGAGAAAATAAGTTAAATTCATGCGCCTGGTTCTTCAGTGCACAGGATTCTGCTCCCAAGGAGAACAGTGAGGTATAGAGGAACAGTCTTGCCAGCTGAGTGGCCCTGGTATCTTCCTGTAGACCCTCAGGATGTGCAGAGGTCAGTATCTAGGCAAACCCATTCCTCAGAAACCACCGAAGTCTCTGGGCAGTGTGAGTTGTGAGGCTCAGAGGGCACAGCCCACTCGTGAGGCTGCCCTAGCAGAAGCTCTATGTCCACTAATCTGTGTCACCACTGTGTTCACGCCAAGGTGGCAGCCATCATCTTCTTGCTCCTCTCCTCAGAGTCGTGTTTGATCTTCTGAGGAAGCTCCACTCACCGGGCACCCCTCAGCTGGCTCTGCGTCCTTCTCAGGTGCAAAGCTGGAATTTATCCTCCCAGGGCAATAGTCGTTTCTTTTTAAATCTGTAAGAAAGACAAAATGGTTTCAAGGGAAGTCCAGGAACACACTGATCACAAGGACTTTCAACTCTACCGGGGTTCAGTGAGGTCTCAGCTGCTCGGGGACACAGATCCTACAACCCAAACCCTTGACCAAGTCCAATCCCAGGGCCTTGCCCACCTCAGGAAAAGCTGCTCCTCAGGTCTGGCATCACCAGAGGAGCCTCATCTAATTCTCAGATGAAATGCCTCTAAGCCCACCCTCTTCCATTCAAAAAGAAAGTATACCAAAAGAAGAGAGAAAGAATCTTTGGGACAAGGATATGCTTTAAAAACATTTGTGCACCTTTTTGTGCTATGCTGAGTAGATCTGCTAGCCTTAAACATGATTTTCTAGGGAGCCGGATGTGTCACTTAGGGGTACAACTCATCCTTAGCATCTGTGAGGCCCTGGGCTCAATCCTCAGCACCAATGTGGGGAAAAATGTATGTCTTGTATTCTTTAATGTTAAATGAGATTTTCTAGACATAAAACAAATACATGTTTTGATAATAACCAACATTTGCTGTGTGTGTGTGTGTGTGTGTGTGTGTGTGTGTGTGTGTGTGTGTGAAATTTAATTCAGCCTTCAGACCAACTCTTATGACACAGATGTTTATTATCCTCAGCTCACAGATGGGAAAACCAATGCCTAAGGTCACACAGCGGGTACAAAGCAGAACTGGAACATGAGCCCAGGCTCTCTGGCTCTAGACGCCTTACTCTTACACCCTGTCCTAAGCATTCTCTCCAAAGGAAAGGAAAGGAAGCCACCTCTAGTCTTGTTTTTGAAACTACGTATTTTAAATTCAAACTTAACAGAATCTGAGTCTATTTCTTAAGTTCACTTAAGTATTGGTTAAAATCTTAGGTTTAGAAGATAAACACAGATTAGATCTGAAGCTGAAGGAATGACTGAATTACTCACTCAAAACCTACCAGTGCGGTATAAAAACAGGATTTCAACCTTACTCATGCAGAAGAGCTAACTGGGCTCAAGAATCAGAAGCAATGAGCTGCAGTTCAAGTCCTCAGGGCTGCTGGCTGACCAAATGGAGTCCTCTGCAAAGCAGAATAAATCTGGCTAGGAAGCAGCCAGTGCCTAGGGACACTAAGGTAACCAGTTGCAGACTCCAGCCTGCAACATGGCATAACTCAGGTGTTTGGCAGCTTCCAAGTGTCCCAGAGCCATTGTCTGAAGGCCCAGTGCTCTTAAGGCCAGCCTCAGCCCATTTCTGGAGTCTTTCTGACCAAAGAGGCAGGAGTGCTGGGTGCTGCTCTCCTTGCCAGTTTGATGTGTGACTTGTGAGATGGACTCCTGGGTGTTTACTGCAGTGATGATCTTTCCTTCTTCATTTCGCTTTGACTGCCCACAGTACAGACCACCACCACCCGAGGTGACGTTCTGTCTCCCACTGGACCTGCAGGCCTGCTCCAAACCTATTCTCTCCCTAAGTCTTACCCACAGAAGGTCCCCTACCCTCTAACTCCAACAGAACTAGAAACTTCCCTCCACTATTATACATTTTCACTTGCTCCACTGTGCATTCAGGGTATGATAATTCCAGATTTGTTGCTGTTGCTGTTATTGCTGCTGTTGTTAAAAAGACAAGGTCTACCACACTGCTCAGGGTAACCCTGAACCCCTAGGCTCAAGTGATCCTGCTGCCCCTTTGGTAGCTGAGATTACTGCACCTGGTTCGAGGCTTTGATGACTTTATATAAAGCAAGAAGGGTCACTCAGTTTGAAATATGTGAAATGCCAGTGAAGAGCAAGTTTTCTGTGAGCTAGGAAGAGAGCAGGGAACTGCGGCAGACATGCAGTGACCCTCGGAGACAAAGGGAAAGAGGGCAGCAGAGCAGGGACTGCCAGGCTGGGGGGCAGAGGCCTCCAGCCGTTAGCTTTCATTCTGGCGTTGTTTTCCATGGCGGTGACCATCTAGGTTGCAGAGAACATGTGCCATATTAACAAATCGGTTTTTAAAAATATATTTCAATGTGTGATTTGAGAGGCAGATTTTGGGGAGGGGGACTGGGGTGTAGGTTAGAGACACAGTACTTGTCTAACATCTGAAAGGCTGCAACCTCCAGTCCCACAACATAAACACACAAACTGGCAGGTTTCCACAGCAACAAATACTACTTTAATTGACAACCTATTGTTTCCCTCTTGGTCCTAGCCCGCCAGTGCCCAACAGGCAAGTTTGAAATGTGAGGGTATCACATGGGTGCAAAACAGGTCTTGGAGGAGAGCAGCCCTGATTTCACCCCATTTAAGTCAATGGAACTTTTAAAGTGACAGTGACAAGTGTCAGGCCCCATGTTGTTTTATCATGTTTTGGCAGAACCTAAAGCAAATCCCTGTCCTTTTAATCCTTTTAGAGTCTTGAAAATTTTGCAGTCAGAAAGTCAGGCACTGTGAATGACTGGGGCTGAGATAAAAATGTGATTAAGATTTTCTACCCAGTCACAATGGATGTTGTTCTAGGAGAGATTTACTTGGAGAAAAGCAGAGCTCTCAGAGGCATACCCGGGAGTCTGAGTTTCCGGCAGCAGGAGTTGCAGCGATGTTTTGCAATGAAGTTTCTAATTGCATCTTCCCCCAGATTGGCTGGCCCAAACACCATTCCTCTTGATCTAGAGGAAATAGCAGAATATCAATTAGATCACAGCTGAAAAAAAAAGAGCCCCACTAGGATTCTCCGAGACACCGAACAGTCTCCCATAGTAACCCAGTAACTTGAAGGGGACCACAAAGAACAGAGCACTTTGGGGAAGCAACAATGTTAGGTTTGCAAATTTAAAATTCAAATGTACTTAAATCTTTGTGCCCAACTCCAAGACCTACTGTGAAACTCAGTTCAACGCTAATCTGATAGGAGAGTGAGTTTTCTATGTACCACATTTTTAAAAAAATGCAGTGAAACCCTTTTTAATGCATATGGGGTGAGAGAATGACATTCATTACCAAATGTTCTTCTAGAATACTGGAAAGGTAAGGTATAAAGTAAAGTAAACTTGCTACTGGGGCACATCTTCTACAAAGTGCAGATATAGTGTGCTGTTGAAGTTCTATGCTTTTCTTAAAGTAACCATCCACCTGACTGGCCCCAGAGCCGTATGTGTGGCTTTTTAGAGACCACTTTGTATCCCGCAAACTCCGTAATGGGGCTGTTTATGATACAAGACTATTAGATGATGTGTCTGTACATAAATCATGTTTGCTCAATTTAAGTGACAAAATTACAAATAGAGTCAGAGTCAGCAAGACCCATTTCAAATACTCTATCATTATACCAGACCCCTGGCAGACTCCAGGTTCACTATTTGTCCATTTAGGGTACCTTCTATGGCACAACCATTCTTGCCATAAGACACTGCACTACACCAGAAATGCTTCTGCAGAAACTTTATGGAAGCTAGCATTTTACTTTAATGACATGCAGAGTGGAAACAGCACATTTTAAAATCTGAACTCAATTACCACTCCAGTAAATACCACGTCTTAAGAAAAAAGCAAAGCAAACGATCGCAAAAGGAAACAATAAACTTCACTTCTAAGGAATGCGGTTTTTCAAAAGGGACATGGTGTAAAAATGGACTCTCTCCCATCCAAGTCCTGAAACATTTATCTCAATTTCCACTTCCTTTTGGCAGAGAGACAGTTGCTGCTCTGAAGAGGTGCCAAGCGCAGAACGAGGGCTGATGTCAGTTTGATCTCGGGTTGCCTCTTTGCAGAGCAGCAAGTAGGTGGAGAAAACCTCTTGGGAAGGGTGGAAAGACACTGGGGATTAGCTTTCCTGGCCACTCAATCGCTCCCACAAAGGACAGCTCTGGTGGCATTTCCCCAGCTGCATAAACTGCCTCTTGTTAACGCTGCCTCTCTCTCAGTCCATCTGGTAAGACACCGCTTCGGTAAGGTGAAACTGAAGGTGACGAAAAAGTAAGCTCACTCGGTATTTGGAGCACAGCGCTCCAGTTCCACTGCCGTGAAAAATGCAGGCACTGGTGTAGCCGTTAACGTGGAAGAGTTCCTTCTGGTAGTCTCATAGTGTGACCTTCCTACACTACTTCACTTGCTTGTTTTATGCCCAGCAATCATGAAAATCTCCAGCTTAGAAGCACAACATTGATTCTTCAATAAAAGCTATAAACTAAATCATTCCTCTCATGAGCTTTGTGCAAGCTGAAACAAAAGGATGAAAGTCACTGCAACATACATTATCAAGGGTCAGACAGCTCCCCATGCCGCACAGAGAGAGGGGTGAAGGCACAGGCATTTGCATTCACACCCCAGAGCATGCCTACTCAGACAACCAAGTTTTCAGAAGTAAGTAAATAAAATATAACTAGCTGTTTTCCAGATTATTCACGACCCAGGAAAAGCAGTGGTAGTTTGGTTCTACGTGCAAGAAACACTAATTAGAGCTCATAGACTCACTGAAGAACATCTTCGTTTCATACTTGCCAAATGCCCCAAACTTCAGGAGAGTAAGCTACAGAGATACGATTCCAAGTCACCAATGAACAAGGCTGAAGGCTAGGTGAAGGTAAGAGACAGCTGGCCGGGTCAGGAGATGATGGGTATCAGAAACAAAATTAGAATTTATACCACAAGAACACCTGCACTTTTGAAAGAAAACTGTTTCCTGGCCCCTTATCCTCCCGGCCAGTTACAATTGTCGGGAGGCTCAGTTCTCCCCCTGGGGAACTAGGATGGGCAATGATTACTTCCACGTTGCTGCTGAGGCTGAAATAAACAGCATATATGACAGCACCTACTTCCACTGGTGCTTCTCAACCTCTAATCTAACCAGATTGCCAGAGGATGATGGGAAAATTCAGATCCTGGCTCGGGAGGTTCAGGGAGCATATGGAGAATCTGCATTTGTAACCATCTCCACCCATGCTGGTGTTGTTGGACCATGGTCTACACTCAAGGCAGCAAGAGCTTCTGACACAGACAGCAGTCGAACACATGAGCCACATTCAACTCATTAAACTGACTAATCAGTCACGACACAACTCTTGTTATTGTTCCTATGAAAACCTACTGCAACCAAAATTGAATGACGCCACACAATCAGGCAGGACACAACAACATCATCCTATCTGTTTCTAGAATCCTGTCCTCAGCCCACAGACAATAAGGTTGCTAAGGTTGCTACAAAACAAAAATGCTGGAGTTCTCAACTCTGACTGCCCACAGAACCACATGGGGAACTTCTACAAAAAAAAGAAAACAAGAAAGAAAGAAAAAGAAAAAAAGAAAGAAATCAGGGCCTTACCTGCAGAAATTCTACCTGGAGACCAATTGTGAGCATTTTTTTAATTCCCCAGGTGATGCTAATGGAAGTTGAAACCTACTTCTTACACAATGCAATTAAACATGTAACTGTCAAGTGGGATTATACAATCTTAGAATCCAAGAGGATGGACCATTCAGGTCATATTAGGTGATATATGCCAATGTCAAAATTTGATGAATGATAAGAGTATACATAAACTTGGTTCATTATACAGGCAAAAAATTTTCCCTAAAACATTATAAAGTACTCAGAATAAGGCTCCCGCTATAAACACTTGAGCTTTGGGGCTACTAAGGAAATAATATTCTTAACTGAAAGTACTTTAGCTCTGCTGAAGCGAAAGTAATACTTGTTTATCTGTAGCCTAAGGATTAATACACAGACTCCACAGTCAAACAATCAACATAGGAATTCGATGATACAGGGAGATAATATGGGTCAACTTCCTCTTCTCTAGCTCACCTATACCAGTCAAACATCAAACACACTTCTAGGACATGTTCTATTCGGCATTAAAGCCTATTGATGGGATCATATTTGGGTGCAGGAAAATGGCTCAGGAAAAGAAAACAGCTTTAGACCAGCAAACATCTATAAAAGGAGTTCAAGAGGAGAAAAAGTGTAATTTTCAGATTCTGTTGTGTCAGGATTGCCCTCTTATGTAGTTTCATACATAAATGTTACCATTTAGGGGCAGGTATATAGAAGGGATGATGACTAGGAAGTAGTAATGTGTATGTGAACATTTCTCTGGACCATCAGATCAGAATTTTCTAGGAACCTGTTAGAAATATGGATGGTTTGCCCCCCTCTAAATGGCAGCATCAGAAACTCTGGGCAGGGGAGCCAGCAGCCCGTGCTTAAGAACCATCCTGGCTACTACGGTGCAGGTTCACACTGAGGACCACAGCTGTCTGCCACACCGCCTGGGATCATCACTGCTCTGGATTCCACCTTTGACAGAACAACACTGGATCCTTTAGTGGCCAGTCTTCCACAAAGCCTGCCAATGGGACAGAATGCCCCTGGGAATTCAAAGGCCAGGCAGGGAACGCCTTCCTCCATGTGACTCGGCTCCACCGGTGCTTCAGAGTAAGCCCGGCATTTTGACCTCTTACTGCTTTGCTGTGCGTCAGCACACTTTACGCCTTCAGTCTCCATTTGTAAGCATGGATGGAAGATGCCAACCAGGGCAAGCTGCAATGATTCCACGGTGAAGACGACAAGGAAAGCTGTTTTCCTGTGTACACTGCTTTCATGTTCATGTCAAAGCTTATTGGAGCTAAACACATGCATATTTCTCTTATTATCTGGGACCCTTTCCCCCAGAAAACTGAGTTGAATTTGCAACTTGCATATATTGCATTTATTATTTTCATCCATGTTTTGCAACCCAACTCCAGATTTAATTTCATTTTGTTTCCATGTTTTATTTCTACCCTCATTTCATAATCTATGCTCTTTTAAAAACATTATTGTTATAGGTCAATATATGAAAGCTGCCTCAAAGACTTCTGGGATTTCAGGAACAGGCTATGTTTATAAATTATTTTTAAAATATGCCATTTAAACATTTATGCAATGTACACGTGCACTGAAACATTACATGGGACCCCATTAATATGTACAATTCTATACTTTACATGTTGAAAAATACATTTTAAAAACATAAAAGTTAAGCAGAATTTATGAAATAATAGCACATAAGTGGACTTACTGTTTGTCTTCAGGTTTTATAACAGATGGATCTGTCAGATTTTCCCCAACACCTCAAAAGAAGAAACAAAATTCATTTAGCAATAGTGGTTTCATTTTCATAGAAATTCAAGGAAATAGTAACCAAATTATAGTTTTTCTCAAGTTTATAATCACTTTGTAGTAAATCAAAAATCATACAAATTGAATGTACTATAAAAATTCTCCAGGAATATTTGGAAAGTCTTAATTATGCACTGTCTTTCACAACTCCTTCGTGTTATAATAAACTTGTAGGCCACAAACAAGTATTTCAGTGATGTGTTCATAGTTACTGATTGTCTTAGTTACTCTTCTCTTGTTGCTGAGACAAAATACCCAATGCCCAAAATTAAGGAAGGGAAAGTTTATTTTAGCTCACAGTTTGTGTAGGTTTTAGTCCATGCTCAACTGGTGCCAAGAAAGAAAGGTTCTTGGCAGAGAGCAACAGCTCAAGGTGGTGGAAGACAGCAAAAGCAGCAAGATCCAAGTGGGAGGAGCAAAAGAACAAGCCTCTTTCTCTCCCTTATATTGAATGCAGGCTGCCCACCCCAGGATGGGTGGAGCACTCACACCTCTAATCCTAGCGTTGGACCATGAATCAATGACAAACTCTGGGATCCCCCCCATCACTTCAAGAGCCTTTGGGGGGATTTCCAGATATAAGCCGTAACACTGAGAATGGCATGCCATTCATTTGCTGATATATACTATACTACATTCTAATTTTATTTCCTTTAATGCTAAGCAACTATAAAAGAAAGGTATTAGCCTCATTTTACACTTTGGGTTTGTCTATATGTTTGTTTGTTTTAAGAGGGTCTCACTATGCAGGTCAGGCTGGCCTTGAACTCACTACATAGCCCAAGCTGGCTGCAAACCCTTGGTGATCCTTCCACCTCAGGCACTTGAGTGATGGGATCACAGGCATGTGCCGCAATGCCCAGGCTCATTTTCCATTCTGTCCTCACTTTACATCAGTGAAAACAATGATGCTCAAAAGGATGAAGTCATTTGCCAGAGGCTGCTCAGTCCACAGTGGTCGGAGCAGAAACAAGCTGGGGCAAACCTGGTGCTCCTCCCATGGGCTATAGCCCTGTACTGGGCTTGTCAGGGATCAGCAAGCACTATGTGGTACTGTAGGTATGGTCTGTGCTCTACCGAAGACACACACCAAAAACTACATAAACGGCATTTATCAATGACAAGTAAAACCAACTCCAATTGTTCATGTAGGTGCTTGTTGAGAAAATCTGCAAAATATAAGCTTACACTATGAGCATTTTTCTGAATGCATGCATCTCAGTAAGATTTACTTTGTGGGAAGCAACACCAAAACCTAAAATTTAAAGCTGAAACTTATCAAAATAGGGACCAACACATAAGGTGACTCTCTGTTATAAAATACAAGTGGTGAGGAGCCTGTTCTCCGAAGATGGTAACATTTCAAACAGCTAAGTGAATGCAGAGCTGGGCAAAACCCAACAGTTCCTCAAATCAGTCGAACCAGCACTTATTGTCTTTAATTAAAGAGATTACTTTGTAGGAAGAGTATTCAAAACTTAGGTAAATGTTTAACATTATTATGTAGCTCTACTTGTAAGAAAATACTCTTATTTTATACCAATTATTTTCAGGGGTTTTTACTGTGTTCTGAAAAAAATAAACTCCTTATAGTCTTTTCCCCTAAGAAACTAATTTCCTTAGGAAAGTAACTCAGAGCACCCAGAAGTTTGGAGTAAGAATATTCACCATTGTTTGTCATGATATTCTTTGCCATTGTTCTCAAATACTGTTTTAATACACATAGTTAAATATATAGGATGATGAAGACAATTAGGGACATTAAAATACAGCTACATAAGGATACTTTTTAAAGTTCTGTAGTGTACATGCTGCCTCATTAATACAGTAAACAACAGGATTTCGCCCAAGTCTGCTAATTACTATAACATCCAACAAGTGACAAACAGAAACAGTAATTTTAGGTATTGGCCAATATTCCACTGTGCTACATTAATATCTGTAATATTTATTACGAACAGTCACAGGTACTATTACTATCACTGAGGATTGTAGTCTACATTATAACTGAAGAAAATGATGCATCTAAGTTACAAGCTAAAGAATAATATATTTTATCATCAAAGTCCACAGACTCTGAATTCTACTCACAAACGCTTTACTACTTCTTGGCTTAGAAATTCTTCACACTGATTTTGAATAGGGAAAGAAAAAACAAGGCTAAACAGCTCAAACAAAGTTCACAAAACATCTTTGCTACAAACTGTACCAACTGCAAGGCAAAATAAATAAACTGGACTGCATAAAGCTTAAAAGTTTCTGTTATACAGATTCAATGCAATCCCAATCAAAATTCCAATAGCATATCTTACAGAATCAGAGAAAACAAACCTAAAATTCATCTAGAATCAGAACAGATCTAGAATAGCAAAAGCAATCCTGGGCAACAAAGATAAGATGGGGGCATCATAATCCCTGACTTGAAATTGTACTACAAAGCTACTGTGATAAAAATAGTGTGGTATAGGCAAAAAAAAAAAAGACGTGAAGGTGAGTGTAATAGATTAGAAGGTGCAGGCACACTAAGCTACCTTATCTTTAACGAAGGTGCCAAACACATTCACTGGATGGAAGATAGCATTTTTAATAAATGGTGCTGGGAAAACTGGCTTTCTACATACCAAAGACTAAAACTGGACCCATATCTTTCACCATGTACTAAGCTAAAATCAGAATGAATTACAGATCTTAATATTAAAACAGAAACATTAAATCTGCTGGAATATAGAATAGGTAAAAACTCTTGAAGACACTGGTGTAGGCAAAGACTTTATGAATAAAACTCAAATTGAACAGTACTTACTACAATGAATCAACAAATGGGATCTCATCTTACTGAAAAGCTTTTGCACAGCAAGAGAAACCACCAACAGAGTGAAGACACAACTCACAGTGTGGGAGAAAATGTTTGCCAGCTGTTCCTCAGATAAAGGATTACTATCAAGAATGTATAAAGAAATAATATTTAAAAATAAGTCCTCTCAGCTGTAAAGACCCAATCCAAAAATGGGCATCTGAGATGAACACACACTCTCAGATGAAGAAATACAAACAGCAAATAAATTCATGAAAAATGTTCAACAACACTGGTCATTCGATAGATGCAAAACAACACTGAGATTCCACCTCACCCCAGAAAGAATGGCCAGTACAAAGAAAACAACCAAGAACAAACGCTGGAGGGGCTGTGGGGAAAAAGGAACCCCTCTCCACTATTGGTGGGTATGCAGACTGTGCAACACTGTGGAAATCCCTCAAAAAACTAGGGTTGGAGGTCCCATTTGACCCAGCTATTCGCCTTCTGGGTATCTTCCCAGAAGAATTAAAAACATTGTACCACAGCAATGTATATGCACCCATGCTTATAGCAGCACAGTTTATAATAGCCAGATCTTGGAAACAGCCTAAATGCCCACTGACAGGGATGGATACAAAAGATGTGGTATGTATATGTAATGGACTACTACTCAGCCATAAAGAATAATAAACTGGACACTTTTAAAAGTAAATGAGTGTGCCTTGAGAACATACTTATTAGTGAAATAAGACACGTGTAAATTCATAGATGAAACTAATGAAAAGTATGATAAGCTGAAAGAAAAAACATGTACATGTGTATGCATATAAAAAATAGTTAAGGTAATTTTTAAAAAGCAGCATAATGGCCTCCTTTGTCTTCTACATGGCCTGTTCAGAAGCAAATGTAGTGCCTCCTCCACTGGACAACTCTGTGGTTCTGCCTTCTCTCCTACTCCTTGACCCAGTCTCTCAGTCCCAGAAAGAATGACCTCAGCCAAATCAATGACTCGGGTCACACCTGCCTTTACTTTAACCCACTGTGAGCCATTCTGAGTTGACTTTGGGATGTCTCAAGAAATTTTTGATGTGCTATAAAGTTTGGGGTTTTTGCATGTAGATATCCAGCTGTTCCAGTATATTTATTGAAGGTACAACTGATTCTCCACTTCATTGCTCTTGCATCTTTGCCAGAAACCAATCGTTTGCTATGTGAATATCTATTTTGGGACTTCATATTGGTACCTTGATGGTTTGTCATCTTGATATCAATGCTGTTCTGTCCTGAATGTTGTAACTTTGTGATTAAGTTGTGGGATTGGGAAGGGTTGGAGCTCTAATTCTGTTCCTTTATCAAAGTTGTTTAGACTGCTGGGGATTTAGCTCAGCGGCATAAGCGCCTGCCTTGCAAGCGCATGGTCACGAGTTTGATCCCTGGTACCAATAAAAAAAAAAGTTGTTTAGACTGTTCTGAGCCTTATGCATTTCTACAGAAATGTAAGAATCAAAAAATTAATTTTTATGAAAAATGATGTTGGCATTCTGATAAGGAATTGTGTTTTCTGATCTTTATTATTTTCCTCCATTTGTTTTTTGTTTTATTCTGTCTTTTGTTTCTAATTTCTTAAGGAAAGATAAGGGGATATTTCATAACTTCTTTTCTAACAAATCAAGAGATCAAAAGGGCAACTCACAGAATAGGAGAAAGTATTAGTAACCATATGTTTGATAAGGTATTGATATCTTGAGTTCATACAGAATTCCTAAAACTTAAAAGCAAAATGCCAAACAAGCCACCTTCTTCAGACACTTCTCCAAAGAATACACACAAATTACCAATGTGCTTTTGCAAAGATTCTTCGCATCACTAATGATTAGGAAAATGTAAATCAGAAGTACAATGAAATACCATCTTACGATAATTACAATTTTTAAAAATGCTTTGCTCTCCCTGAGTCACAGGAACAGGCTGGGATCTTTATCCTTTTGTCATCAGAAGGATCAGCTGAGAGGGACCCTGCCATTCTAACCATCAAGTAAGGAAACAGGACAACTCTGTCTCTGTCTTTAGAGAGAATGACAGCTACATATCCTTTACTTGTTGAACCACAGACCTAATTGTTAAGTCTGCAGTTTATAGCAATAATGAAACCTTCAGCATAACGGAGAAGTAAGCCATACAGTACACTTAAGCTAGGAATATACACAGTCGCTACAGAAGTAATATCAACCAGGAAAAGACAAGTTCTGTGGAGAAAGAAAGTCTATGAAAATCACCTACGATCCGGTTTACTTCAAATCTTGTTGCTTGTTAGACCCAGAAGTCGAAGAACACAGCCTCCACCCACTGTCCCCTCTTTTTAGGTGTGGATCTGAGTAGTTTCCCATGCTTCTCTGAAGCCCATGCTCTCATCCAGAAGTGTGATATTGTGAGCTTTATCTCATAGCGCTGTGAGGATTAAATGAATTATTACACATGCGCCGCTCAGTAAAGTGACCCTGGAGAAGCCAAGGAAAGCTAACTGCTATTTTTGTTATCTTTATCCTATCAAGGGCCACTTGGGCAGCAAAATTTGATTTTCCTGCTACTGTAAAATGATGATTCTGTTGATCTTAGGGGGTGTAGCCCAGTGGCAAGGTACTTGCCTGCATGAGGCCCTGGATTGGATCCCCAGTTCTACAAAAACAGGAGTCAGAGAAAAAAAAGAGGAGAAGGAACAGGAAGGAAGAAGAGGAGAGTAAAATGTACACAAATCACATTAACAGCTCAAAGTTTACGTAGCAAATACTCCTTCTGGCTCCCTCAGGTGGAAGAAGGATCTCCCAAAGTGGGGAGGGGGGCAGAAAGAGAGGGAGTCCCAAAGGACCCGCAGTATGGTAACATCCACACTCACAAACAAATACTAATAAACAAATGAAATGGGAAAAATCACACCACAGCACCACCGCCATTTCCAGCTCTGCGCGAACACCGCAACGGGAAAGCTGACCACAAAGCTCCTCCCATCCATAGACTGTCCTGGAAAACATGGGGCACAGGACAGGAATGAGACACTCTGCATCTAAAAGTCTCAGAGATGTTCCTCTACCAGCTCTAACAGAGTAAGAGCTCACATACTCAGGCAGGATAAAAAAATCGTGAAATTTAACTTTGGATACATCAGTGGGCATCTACGTCTGCGCAGAAACCCCCTTTTCGAGCAGCAAAATTTCTGATGATGAGGTGGATCCCAATGCTGCTGACTTTGCCTGGAAACTACATTGTGGATAAACAATTAATACTGCATCTTCAAAAGTCCTTTGAAAAATATGAGCTTAAACATTACAGGCCACTGTGATTTTTAAATACAATTGTTTTTAATTTCCATTTCTGGGAATTAAATGTTGGATTTCAAGCATGAAGATGATTCAGTCCATCACATGTAAGACTTTTTAAGTGGAAAAAGACCGGAAAACTTCAATATAATCCCAAGTGATGGGAAACTGTCCACACTGCCCCTTGGAGGAGTTCAGTTTCCTGGACTGGTGTGGCAGTTTCTGAGTTAATGACTGGCGTCCTCATGGAAGAAAACAAAGAAGAGAAGAAGGAACTGCAAGACGACTTTCTGCATGCATTTCTCCCTGTTCCCCGGAAAGCAGGAAGGAGCAGAGACCCATGCTGGTGCCTTCCTGCAGGACCACACAATGAGAGTAGATTCCCCACACTGGAAGACTGACCTCCACTGAGAGTCCACACCGAGATTCACATTACCACAAAAATAACCAGAGTTCACTAGGACTAACTGCATGCTATATATATATATATCGTCTCACTTCAGCTTTTTAATCTAATGTTTGAAGTACATATTCTTTTCCCCACTTACAAATGAGGGATGTGGGACTGCAGGTGATGGCTCCTCAGGTCAAGCAGCTAATTCCAGGAGGAGCCCACCCCCTGCAACTCTAAAGTTCTTCTTCCCCGGCTGCTACCTCTCAACCTCCACGCCTACCACCCAGGTGGGGTGGATCACCTCTCCAACAACTACCAACACAAATAAATAAAACACAAAACCAAACCTAAGCCATTAACAGATGTTGTAAATAGATCCTATGTTTCCCATTTTTCCCTTCCAACCTGATTTAGATTAAATATGATAATGCACAAAATTCTTTAGCCAAATGCCTGGCACAAAATAAGCACAACGGTACCCCAGTTCGCAATCTTAATTCCTTCCACATAGAATGAATGCTCTGCCCAGCATCATGGAAAAAATTAAGTTTGTGAACCAAGATACCACTGTACCTAGTGAATGTTAGCTTCTAGAGGTAGCAGTCGTGTAACTTCAGAATTACTATTACAGGATTCATCTTTTACCACAAATTCAAGCCTACCCAATTAGCCAGACCTCTCTGGGAAGTATCAAATATCATCATGTTCATTCTATGACATCCACTCTTCCCTTCTTTGAAGGTCAATGTTTTGACACAGTTTATTTGGAGTGGCCTAATTCTGCAATCCACATAATTGCTCAGAAAAAGAATAAAGTTAATTCCCTTTGTCCCCCAAGACTCTCAATGCAGCATTTGTTGTTTAATGTCACTTTGCATTACTAAGAGACATAAAAATCCCCAAACATAAACATCATTAAACAAAAACCTATTCAAATGGAATATCAAACACACTGAAGAGTCATCATTAATTCCATAACATTTTTCTTTGGTTGTTTTGCTGTTGTTATTTTGTTGTTGTTGATCCTGGGGTTTTTGTTTTTGCTTTCTGCTTTTTAAACAACTCCACCCAAAAATTCAGTGTACAAACAGTCAAGTACAGATGAAAGCAATCAAGCTTTTCCCAGCTGCAGCTACAAACAGACGCATTCAGCATCCACACATGGGGTGATATGGATCCAGTCCTTGCTAACTTAAAAAGCTGAATCTTGTTGGTTGATTTAATTTTGTTTATATTGCTTCCTAAAATATTATGTTCGACAGTTGGAAATACAACCCAACCCTGTGAACAATGGAAACCTCAAAGGACACAGTATATACTTGTAGTTTAAAAAGTACTTACAGTATATAACCTTGAGCGTATGACAAATTTCACAGTGATTTTGCAGTCTGCCTAGGCACTGCCCCGGTGCCCCAAGACCATCTGTTATCTCAACGTTCCCTAGCCTCCAAGCCCCGCTTTCAGCACAGAAGCCCAGAACTGGAGAGCTGAGCCAGTCACAGAGGATGAGAAAAAGGGCCAAGTTGTTTAAATGACCCATAAGGTGGTTGGACCCTCAAGGTATGAAACTCTTACAGAAATAAAAGACAGTGCAGTAAAAAGACAAGAATACGGCTAGTCAAAGCAGTTTCCATGTGTATCCTGGCTCATTTTAAGTAGCTGTGCACCCCAGGGCAGCTTAGTTAAACTTTCTGGGCCTCAGTTCTCCATATCCACCTCCAGGTGCTGTGTTTTGGGATTAAATGAGATAACTTCTGTGAAAGTTCCTGGGTTAAATCCCTTATTTAAACCAAAGTCAGTCAAGGAGCCCAAGCACTAAACGTTAACCTTAATACATATTTCATCTATCCCTGCAAGGAATCCTGCTGGAGGCCTCCGCTGCAGGATGCTGGTGGTGGGGAGACGCACTGACCAAAGACTTCCTTCTTCAGCCAGGAGGTGTAATTTCCCTGACGGTCACATCACAGGACACAGCGAAGAGGGCAAGCCAGATTATAAACAGCTGAGGCAATAAACTCAAAATCACAGAAGATGCCCAGAATTTAAACTTCCCTGTATGCATATATGCATGCCTAAGCTAAGAGTACGGCAAAGCCATAAAACAGGAAAAACTGGTACAAAAAACCATTCCTCATGGAGTTCAACATTTTAGATGCTTTTAAAACTTCAATACCCTGCCGATATTCCTCCTCAAATGAGTAGGACACAACATAGCAGGTGTTTGTTACCTTTGTTATCCCCTGACTGACATACTTTAATTTTGTTGTAGTTTTTCCTTCCTTTTATCTATGAATAAAATGGTTTTGGGGGGAAAAAATGCAGGTACCCATGTATGAGTTCTCTGAATTGAATGTCTCCACCTCCTTTCAAGACGTGATGGAACAACGCTATACACAACCTTCCTGGTTCTCCCAAGATCTCTGGGAACTCTGCCTCCCGTCTTGTCAAGTCCCGGGTCATCAGTTACCTTGCAAATCTAAAACCAGCAGCTCTCCCCTCGTGTACTCGTAGGTCCAGTGAGAGAAAGCCAACATTAGCTCCTCCAGGGTGTTGCTGGGGGTGATTTCATCTCCGTTGTTGTTGTTGTACTTCCGAAACTCCCCTGTCATATACTTCTCAACGGTCAGCCACTGGTCAGCTGAATGGCAGTAGATCAAGAAAACGTCCAGGAACCTTGAATGAAACAGAGGCCATCGATCCTTCACAAGGCAGCAAATGTGGGACTCGCCTCACAAACACACAGCAGATGAGAGAGCCCCTAACTCTGACCCATCCTGCCTGATTAACGTGCCCTTCCTGTAAGAAGGAAGAAGGGAGCATACAGGAAGGATTTTCCCATGCTCACTCACCCCTCCTCACTTTGAGAAAACTTTCCAACTCTACTGTGAGTACTGTACCCTGCTTTTCTTGCCGTGATCTACTAAGTTTCTTATAAACGAAACAATAAAGCTTTCCTATAAGTCCTCAGCACCAAAGTATGATCTGCCTTGATAAATGAACATCTATGGAAACACACGAAGTCAAAGAAAGAAGAGTTCATTCTTCCAAAGTTCCTGATTTCTTTTAAACACTAATGTATGGGGTCAGGATTTTAGCTCAGTGGCATGAATGCCTGCCTGGTAAGTGCAAGATAGTGAGTTCAATCCACTGTACCAAAAAATAAATGAATAAATAAATAAAATACTAATGGCAAAGCATGTTTAAAACAAAAATCTTCTCTCCCAAGGTCTGTTTATTAAAACTGAAATATCAGTCACAGCATCTCCCTGAGATTTGTTCAATCACATAAGTTCAATGATTTGAGCCAAGGTATCTCTGGGACATCTAATTCTTTTTACCAGTCTCCATGACTACGAAACAAAGAACTCCAAAATAAGGTCCTCACTAACTTTCCCGTGGATCTTGTACTCCCCATAACTAATGAGCTGAGAATGATTAATAGGAATTTCTACTTAAAATGAGGGCCTGAGGGCCAAGGCTTCCTTACCTTGGCGTGTAGGGGATGGTGTGTGGTTTCACTTGGTTGAAGGTATAGATCAGTTTCTGAGCAGCTCTTTGCTGCTGAATCTCCTACAAAGTGAAGAGCACCAATAAAAATACTGGTTGACTAACACATACTCAGCAATTAATGATCATGGAATCACTGAAGATTGCCTGAATGTGATAACTTCATTTGGCTTCCTCCATCCCCTACCCCCAAAACCGTAGGTCCTACAGAACAAAAATAACAAAAAGCACCACCTTCAAGCCATACATGGAGATCATGGTGTTGGATAAAGACGTAGCCAGATCTCCCTTCTGGGACCTGTCCATAAGGGCTCTGGGGCTCTAAGCTCCTGGCTTACCCGGAGGCAAAGATGAAGCACCGTGCTTTCCTGGAAGATATCGCGCCACATGCGCACCACTTCGGGAAGAAAGGACTTCACAATGAAAACCTGCCCCGGCTTGAGGACCTCATCCTCAGACCAGGTGCTGATGACTCGCATGGCTTTGCGGAGGCCTCCATCCATCTCCTCCTGGGACAGCACTTGGATCATCGCAGCTCGCCCATGCTGGGACCAGGATGACATGCTTTTGTCAAGGTTCAGAGGGGAGCTCTCCTCCAGCCTGTAGACCGTCACTTCTTCTCCTGCTGCAGAGGGAAACGAAGGTGTGGAGTCAGTGAGATCACGAGGCCTGGGACAGGAAGGCTCAAAAATCTACTCCAAATAAATTCAGTTGTCCCCAAGATCGGAGAAGAATAGGACAATGGGGGACTAGAGCAGAATATGAAGAACAGAGATCGTGGCTTCCAACGGTTAAATTGTTCTTTCCATCAACTGTAACTGGACAAAAACAATGCCAATGCAGAAAGGATATGTCTCTTCTGTTAAAAGCTTTTTTAAAATTTTTCCAATCGGATTTGATTGATGCATTTCAGTTATACACAATGATCACAGTCATTATAGAGAATCTGGACCTGTACATGGCATAACTTCTTTTTTTAACTACTCCCCTCTCCTCCTGTCAACCCTTCCTCCCCTCCCCATTTACAAAAGCTTGATTCCCATTCTTTCCTTCTTTTCTTGGTTTTTTAACCCCTTCTTTACTTTCCCCCCTCCCCTCCTTTTTTCCCTCCCCATTTGAACATTTTCTTCTGATTTCATAATACCTAATATGCATTCTGGTCTATATAATACACGTTTCAGTTTCTCACACCAGAGGCACAATACTGTTATTTAAACACGTGTGTCCAATTCGTTCCCTTAAGCATATGGTCCCAAGGTGCATACCTGTAAGTGGCTGAGTAGCATTCTATTGTATAAAAAAATAAATAAATAAACCTACATCTTCTTTTTCTGTTCACCAGTTAATGGGCATTTGGACTGTTTCAAAGATTTGGCTACTACGAACTGTAACAGCCTCTATAAGCATTGGTATGCATATACTGCTGTGGTGTGATGTTTTTAATTCCCAAGAATGGGAATATTTGGGCCAAATGGAACTTCTAGTCCTAGTTTTTTAGGGATCTCCATACTGATTTCCACAGCATTGCACCAGTCTGCACTCCCACCAACACTGGAGAAGGGTTCCTTTTTCTCCAAGAGTTGGTTTCTTGACAACAGCCATTCTTTCTGGGGTGAGATAGAGTCTCAGCATTGTTTTAATTTGCATCTTTCAAATTATCAGTGACACTGAACATTGTTTTGTGTATTTTTTTGCTGTTTGTATTTCCTTATCTGTGAAGTGTGTATTCATCTCAGGTGTCTATTTTTGGAATGGGTCTTTAAATTTGGGGTCTGATTTTTTTTTTAGTTCTTTATATATTCTAGATAGTAGTCCTTTGAAAGACAAGTATTCATAAGGAAACAATTAACCTACAATTATTCATGACCCTCATGCACCTTATTAGACATTCTAACTGTTCTTCCCATGACATGTTAATATTAAAAATATCCTGCATTATCTATTTAAGGAGTGTGTATAATGAATGAAAAATAAAGAGGTTGCCTTTGGTTTGTTTTTACCTTGTTTCTCCTTTGCCTGTGATACTGCCCCTCAGAGCACACATGGTTTTACTGTGACGCTGGAGTCAGACATGCTGGCGTCACACCCCACAGCCTCTCCTTCCTTCCTGAGGCTTTTGGGTTAGTGACTTATCGTCAATTTCCTCATCAGATGAAATGAAGATGAAAATAATACCCAGCTCATTAGGCTGACGTAGAGATTATGTATGTTAACGTGGCTAAAGTGAAACAGAACTCAGGTACACCCTCAATCCCACTGGAGAGACTTTGGACACAAAATGTTACTTTACTGCTATGCAGCCTCCCCTTTTTGGCTACTGGAAGTTTTGCTGAGGCAGACTCCACCAACACAGTATTTGTGCTTAACAACAGAACTAATCTACGCAGAGCGTCCACACAAGTGGTGTTATTTGCTCTCTACATCTTTGCTTCAAATGTTTGTTGTTGTTTGTTTGTTGTTTGTTGTTGTTTGTGAACACTGTATTGAATTATCAAAAAAGGAATCTGTACCCTCACTCTTGTGTCTAATTCCTTACCAACACACACGTCTAGAGAACACTGAGTAACATATTTTCAAATATTCGTTCTTGGTACCGAGATAAATGTTTGCCACTGAGGGTCTCTCCAGAGTCCTGATCCCTGGAGGATTCAGAGCAATGCTACTGACTTGCAGAACCCACTGGGGAGCCACACGGAAGGAGGGGGCACTCAGAAGCCAGCCTGGGCTCTCCCACCTGAGCAGTGTGAGAGAATCGAGATCAAGGGCAGCATAGGAACCCTTGTTACACTGTCAAGTGGTTCAAGCTTTATCCTGGTGGACAGAGAAACTCTTATAGCCTTGGCTAATGCTAACTTGTCTTTCCTTTCTATTTCAACTAAAACAAAAAACCACACTGGCAGTAGGAAGTAAGAGCAATTAGTGTATGTGAAACAAAACAAACAACAAGCAATCTACAGAGCTGAGCTCTGCAGATGCGTGCTGCTGCCGTTCACCACGGTGACATCCAGCACTCTCTTTGGTGCTTGTCCTGTGCATGGTTGACTTGTTGTTTTTCCTTCTCGTGTACTTCCAGCCTCCAGGCAGGGAACTCCACGTGCAGAATTATTGCTTTCTTCCCAAATGTTGCTCATCACATATCCCATTTCCACAATACCAAGCCTTGACAGCAAATGCTAGCCAAAGCATTAACAAGTATCCTTTTTAGGAAAATGAATCTCACTTAGCTATACCCATGGTCAAAATGCAATTTTCAAATGAAATGATGCAATCCTTTGATTGACTCCAATGTCACCACCCGCTCCCCACCCTGGCAAAACCTCACAAAGATAGAAAAGCTACTTACCGAACAGTTGGATTGGTGTAAATGGTATGGTCTGAGAAAGCCTCATTAAATTATTCCTTTCGATGGCTGCAAACAAAGACAGATTTATTATTTTAAGTCTGCATCACTGGGCTAAATCTACAGAAGTGCCTCACCTCAATATAGTTATACGATACACAAAATATTTTATTTCAAATGCTTTTTACTTTTTGTCATTACCAAAAACATTATCCATAATACAGTTTTAAGTATAAACTGAGCCTTCAACTAGAAGGAGATCCCAATGTCAGGAGTACGTGATAGGAGACTCGGGGCTGTCTTCCCCCACCTTGCTCAATACCAACTCCTATGTGCCCGAAAGCATGCTCTAAGTGGCATTTTAACCCGTGGTCTTCATCCTGTTTTTTTTTTCCCAATGCTCCGTGGACTGTTGGAGACACCTACTGTTCATCTTGCACAATTCACTTTCTCTTTTATCAGAGGGAACTGAAGACTGACTTTACTTAGGAGCAAGCAATCTGCATTTCCCTGTCGAGGGCCACGTGCTAACAGATCGGTTGGTATGATGTATAGCAGTCCTCACTAGAGCCTTTCTCAAATTGAGAGCTAGTGTCAAAATAATAGATGACTGCTGAAATAATAGATGACTGCTTAACTAAAAGACCCAGCAGCAAGAACCTACGATGACGAACCTGGAGTTCACTACAGTGAAGAATTCAGGATAAAGCAGCTTATTACAGACCCCAAACAAAAGACCCTGATATGATAAGAACAGTGATTATGACACCAAAAAGGTCTTTCTTACGTCCCAAGCTTTAGACTGCTGCAAATCCCTGGTCATGTATTATCTGCTCCCATGCTCAGCAGCACCCCCAAGAAACCCTCGAATGGCACAAGTCCAGTTGGCTGTCATATTGCTTTGCACTTCAAAGTATTTTCCTCTTAATTCTCAACTAGTCCTTTGGCAGACAGTTCCTCAGCCAGGGCAAGTATAATTACTCCCACTCTGAAAGAAAAGCAGCTGAAGCTCTGCTAAGTGATGCTGCTTAAGAGTCAGACCCTTGGCATCTCTGTTTAATGACCTCTCTGCTGAACTTGTTCTGCAGAGCCGGCATCTAACCAGTGTTATGTTCACCCTTAAAGAACTGCTTTGGGAACTGTCTTCTCCTCCGCTGAAACACTAAGATCTCTGGCTTTGGGCTGGCTTAGAACTCACAAGGACTTTTCAGGCCTCAAGCTTATCCTTCTTCACAATTTACAACTTTTCAATGCACCTTTTTGTTTAAGTTCAAACATTCATAAATCCTGGCAACTTGCCAGGACTTAGGTCAACATCAATGTGAGAGGTTCAGATGTTCTTCCCACGAGAGAGAATAATTTTCCAAGTTGGGAGCCATAGCAAAAAAATATGGACTTTACCAATGTTCCTGTTGACAAACGCAAACTCAGACCCTGAGCTCGGTATCCGTCAATGTGCACATGCTTCTTACCTGAATAGTGGTGCGGCTCTGCAGGGCTTTTTAAGGCTGCTGAGATCTCTGAAATTAGAGAGAAGATTGGCATCTTAATTATCTGGCTCAATATAAATACACGCATATGAATATATTGCCTTCAAAGTTATTATTGAGCAGGTTAATCAGAATAGCTCCTCAGTATTTGAAAAAGCTTGCCTAATATCCCTTAACCGTATTACTGCACATGGTATTCTGACAGTTTCCAATCATCAATGCAATATCTTCAAACATATCTATGTGGGGAATTGGAGAAAGACAGGTAATATTAGCCTCAAAGATGTATTTCCTCTGAACCAATTACACCTCCGGGCTGCAAGAGGCACTCAGCTGTCCACCGCGCCCCATGACATCCCTGAATCATGATCCTTCCAGCTCCCCACCGAGATGCAGTGCCCACAGGAAGCCATTATTAATGCCAAGTTATTAGCAGACCACTCCACTGACCTAGAATAGCAGCAGAGAACACGCATCAAGTGGTGCACAAAAGGGACAATGCAGGGATGGATAACATGGTACCGCGGGATTTGCTGGGCTGCACGGGGACAGCATGATAGGAACACCCTGCTCCGAGTTTAACTCATTCTAGTCTATCTGCTCTGGTGCTAAATTACAGGACTCCAGAGGAACCCTTTGCAGCAGCTCTGCCATTTCATAAAATCGAAATTAAAGCAGAGAAACTTTAGTCTCATGGTGGCAACTGCTTTATACCTAGTAGAGTGAGCAACATCATGAGCTCGATTTCAGAGATCTCTCTGGCTTCTCGATGCTAGACAGAGAAAAGATCAAATATCACTTCCTTTGGGGGTAGATCACAAAAAGTATGATCAGCAGAAAAGACTTCCTTTCTGAATTTATTCAGCAATGATACATATATATATGGATATATATACAAACAAATACCACACATATTCCTCTCCCACTCTGGGCCATGCTATGCATGAGCAATGTGAATAAAATGAGGTTTCCACCCTACAGAAAAAGCAAATAAAGCCAGACATGATGGCACACACCTGTTATCCCAGCACTCAGCAGCCTGAGGCAGGAGGATCACTGTGGGTTTGGGACCAGCCTAGGCTACAAAGGAAGTTCAAGGGTAGCCTGAACCAACTAATAAAACCCTGTCGTAAAAAGACAATAAAAGAAAGGAAGAAAAAAAGCAACACAATACACTAGAGAAAAAGACACATAACTGTAGTAATGCAGTTTGCTAGGTGATACGCTGGAGGTGCACACAGAGGGTTTCAGGACATGCTAATTTCACCTGGAGCGTAGGATCTTATAGACGGACACTGTGAAACAGTGAAAGGGTATGAGCACCCCGACGTGACAAAGCCGAGTTTCAATCCCGCCTCTGCTACTCAGGAGCTGTGCTTACTACACCCGTGTTTATTAAGCATCTGCTGCACTGGGCTATACCCTCTTAGTACTTCTGGGCACAGAGTCCTACGGAGCCCATAGAGGAGAAGGCATCCAGGTGATGCCATCTCATGAGTGCCTCTTGGGGAGCAACGCGTAAAGAGCAACAGTGGGAATTTCTGGGCAGCTGAAATGAGCTCGGTAGGAAGCTGTCATTCAGAGACAAAATGGAAAAAAAATCACAATAAAACATGGGTCACCACAGAACTGTAAACCACAAGTCAGTACTGATTTATCTGGAGAAAGATACTCAACATTCTACTTTTTACTGAATTTTCTACTTGGTATAGTAGAGAAAAATCAGTAATATAAAGTGAACACTATCATTAATAAAATGAAAAATAAATGTCAAAAATCTCAAAACTTACTGTCAGCTCTACTTGAACGTCTCAACCTGTATAGGAGAAATAGAATTAGTCCTCGTTCAAACAGTTCAATGATCAAAGAAAAGAAATCGCACTGAAACCATGTAAAATCACATACAGATATAAAGTACCATCCACATCTTATCTTACTTTTATCAGTCTACAATTATTTTTACAGAGAAACAAACACCAGATATGCGTGTCAGTTGCAGTATACACCCTAAGCTAACTGAAAAGTACTTGTGTTTTTTAATTAGCGATGTGATCACACAACATATATAAGATTTAACTGTGCTTGTGTTGTTCTTGATCAATTAAATGAAAGGCTTCCTGAATTATGCAAAGCAGATGCCTACAAATGACTGTGGGAATGTCTTCGGACAAGCCTACAAATCAGTTTCATTAGCCCACGTGGCCCCTAAATGTGCACAGGCTGAAATTAGCTTCCTTTAAATTGTCACTTGCCCTGCTCAAGTGCACAAAGTGGCCACGGGCAAGTCTGAATAAATGCATTCAAAGAATATCTCCAGTATTTAAGGTCCTTAGGGAAGAAAGTACAATTACAATTATTGTTTAATTTCATGCTGCAATAACCCACTACTCTGCATGAGCACAAACTACTGAACCTTTGGGAGAAGAAAGTCATGTGTCCTCTAAATCTGGAAGCAGGCTTGCGTGGAGACCGTGATGACAGCTTTGAGAAAGGCCATTTCGACCAGAGCTGCCTGCAAACAGAAGGTCGCCTTCCACCGGCTCCGTGTCAACGGGCCCATCTGCATGGTAAACAGTTCTAGTTCTGCCCCTATGGCTGTATGGATATCAATTTGAGGATGTAGCCAGGAAAGTGCAGAAAGTAGCACAATCAAAATGGAATCATCAGTGAGACAGGATGGCACAGGCCTGATGTAGCTACTAGAGAGACTGAGGCAGGAGGTTCACATGAGCCCAAGAGCTCAGGCCAGCCTGTGTTTCTTAAGAAGAGTAAGTGGAATAATCACTGCTGTTTGGCTGCTTTGCAAATGTTATTTCTCTCAGGAGGACAGCAAATTCTCCTCTACAGCCAGGTGAGTTCTCCACACACTTCCCAACCCAAACCTCCTCCTGCTCTGTCTTTCTCAGAGTTAAGACAATTGGGATATTACTGAAAAACCAAAGCTAAAATGGCCACTTCACACCTGCAAAGGAAGACATGTGGAAGAAAGAACTGCTTTTAAATCTAAGAAACATCATCAGGTCTTAAACCCTTTTCTTTAGGCCAGACAGATTTATTTCCACTTCTAAAGCAAATGCAATCTTACCTATCTGAAAAGCTATGATAATCACTATTCAGATGTGTGTTCTTTCACACTGAAAGGCAAATGTTTAATTTGCTGCAGGAGTATGTGTTTCCTTACAATATTCCTAAAAGCACTTGGGTGAGATCTTGTTCCTAGAAACTCAAAAAACTGGAGAATAATTTTTTCACTTTTGCTAATAAAAAAATCTTCATTTGATGCACATTTTTTTCTGCCTTTTCTGACCAAATTAACCACTTCCTCCTCATCAGGTTGCAAAATAGAACACAGAGAATCTTGACAAGCGACTTTTAGGAATACTCACGGGGCTTTCCTAGCAATGCTGGCGTCCCCAGACTTCCATGGGGTACTTTCCCTCAGATCCTAGGAGCAAGAAAGGAAAGGTCATCCATGCTCAGACACCCAGAGCACCCTCAGCTGAGCTCTCAGCAACACCGTGTCTGCAAAGCTCCCCTTCAGAGCGCAGCTTTCCCCTCCCTCTAGCTCAGTATTTCTCTTTAAAAAAAAAAAAAAAAAAACCAAACCAGGCCACAAAGACACACAGTGTTAGCACAGTATCAGATTTGCTCAATAGGTTGATAGGTTTAACAGAATGAAATTACTTTTACAGGGACACTGAAGGGGAACTGTAACATACAAAGGTTTTTACAGACACAGTACTAAATGTACACAAAGAGCTAATGACATAAAAAATGGAAAGAAGGTCCAGCAACATCCATTTTCACACTACTGTGTCCTATCACCAGATTACTGGTCCAAGTGACCACCACTTAAAGTAACAGCATTTGACATTTACCTCTGTATCTTTCCTATTTATTCAGCTAATAATTCTTGAGACTTACTGTACTCCAGGCAGTAGCACAGGTACTTCTGTAGGTGTTCTTTGTTGATCATTATTAATAATTCCTTGCAGATAACATTAGCCCCACTACGGAAATACAGTCATAGAAACACAGCCCCATTATAGAGATCAGTTAACCTGAGAACGAATGAAGTCTAGAGGTGAGCTGATATACTTGGTTTTGAAACACAGTAAGTCTCTGTTCTAACTGCCTCCAAGTGGTGCTGCATTTAACTTTTTTTGGTGGGGGAGATTAAACTCAGGAATTTCACACTGAGCTGCATTCCACAGTCCTTTTTCAATCTTGAGACAAGATCTTGCTAAGTCGCTAAGTTGCCCAGGCTGGCCTCAAACTTGCCTCAGAGTACCGGGATGACAGACATGTGTCACCGAGCCCAGCACATTCTCCTTCCAAAGCCTTTCACAGATGCTATTCCTCAGGCATATGTAAGATTGTTCTTGCTGGTAATGTTTATACAGCTCTAAAGTTCAAACAGATAATAGTCAAACCAAGACCAAAATTAGGTCTAACCAGATTACACATCCCCCGTGACAGATGGCACTAAACCAAGGTGCAGACTTGTAGACAGTAAGCAAGACAGACGATCAAACAAGAAGCCAAGCCCTGGACAAACACTAGGCTCCTTCACCAGCAGGACTTGCGGGCCCACCTCTATGTCTGAGAGCTTTGTTCTACTCATTCTCCCTCTCATGCACTGGAGAGGAACCTACTACTTTGAGAGCTAGACCATCCCAACCTTGGAAAGCTCTAATTCTATAAATGGCTTCCCCTGTGGGCTGAAATCTGTCTCCTAGCAATTTCTCCATGCTGATTCTAGACCGTCTCTTAAAAGATGTGGACAATATCCTATTTTCCCACCACATGGCAACTTTCACATATCTGACAACAGTTTCAAAAATTCCTGAATTCTTTGAATTCTTTCTCCCTCATGCTGGATGTCCCCAGAATGTTGGGTAGATAAGCAAGATGCACAAAGAACGAAATAATGGGGAAAGATTGAAAAGATCAAGCAGGAATTCATCTGAGCAAAGTCCCAAACGGAGATTTAAATTTAATGCCAGAAAAAAGCAGAAGCCAATTAAGGGGCAGAAAGGTAGAATAAATAGTCAATGAAATGTTGTGCTGATAAATGTTTTTTTTTTTTATGAAAATGAACCAAACATTTTTACCTCTTGAGACCACATTAGGTAATCCTTGACTTTTACAGCTTGCTGCTCAATTTCCCTGTTTTTCATCTTCTGACATAGATAAGGTTCGAGACCTTGTTTAAAAGGAAGGAGGAAGAAGAAGAGAAGGAGAAGGAGGAGGAGGAAGAGGAAAAGAAGAAAGAAGAGGAGAATGAGGAGAAAGATAAAGAGGAAGAGGAGGAGAAAGAGAAAGACGAGAGGGAGAAGGAAGAGGAGGGGGAGGAGGAGAAGGAGAAAGAGAAAAAGAAAGAGAAAGAGAAAAAATTAGAAAACACATGCAAATCTGTTACATTCAAATCACAGCTCCCAAATAGAAAAATGTGAACATGGTATGTTCATTTAAACTTGGATAGTTTTCTCTTTCTGTTTTTAGCAAGTTTTACCAAGTTTGCCCTATTTTTCTCAAATGATTGCAAGCTATACATTCTATTCCTATTCTTCCATAGTTACAAGTTATATTTCTCTACCAAGTCAAGAATTAAATGATCCATAATCCACTCTTCTGTAAAATAACACCTTTAGTAATGTTTTTACACTTACCTTCTACTGTACTCTACAGTCCATACTTTATTTAAAATATATGAAATTTTAGTAAAAAATGGCTAGGAATCTCTCCTTAATAACTGCATTAAGCATCATAAGCTAAAAACAACACAAAGCTAAAAAGGAATGCTATCAAATACACTTAATTTTTAGTCTTTTATTTAAAAAGATGATTTACTATCACTGCCATTTTTTATACCTTGTACCTACATAGTTATTGCATATAGTAGACATAATAATGATGTAATATATACTTTGTGGAATCGACTCTGACACTACTGTCAAGAATCTTAACCATAGGGGCTGGGGATTTAGCTCAGCGGTGTAAGCGCCTGCCTTGCAAGCAGGCAGTCGTGAGTTCAATCCCCGGTACCGATAAAAAAGAAAAAGACAAGAAAACAAAACAAAACAAAAAGAATCCTAACTAAATGTAAGAGATAATACTAGTGTGTTTTCCACTAATGATTTCATACTGGGGGGAGAAAAGTATACAAAAAGAGTAAAAAATCTATCATAATATAATAAAAATATGATAAAAGGAATTTCTATAATAGCACAGCACTATAATTAAAATAAAACACCTTTTTAAAAAAGCTAAATATATCTTTTTCCTTTTCCAAAATTAATTCCTCAGAACTACTTTTCATATTTAACTACCTGACAGGTAATTCCTCAAGCCCCCAAACTCTTATTTTGTTAGTTCTTTTTTCAATTAATCCTTAATTCAATCATACTTCCAAAACATAAACAAAAGAACAAAACAAAAATTTGAAATGTGGTTCAAGGTACACCGTGGACCCCTCTATCCATTTGGATTAGCGGGGGACTCAGAACTGGCCTATTTCCCAGCCTCGCCTTTCCCCATGGCCATCTGAATTTAGGAAATTCTTTCCCTTCTTATTTGTACTTTTTCTGTTTTAAATTCAGCAGAAAGAGCTTAAATAATTTAAGTAAAAATAATATATAATAACCTAAACATGGGTTATACTCCTTATAAAAAACAATACATTATATATGAATTAAGTATATGACATTTAAAAATAAAATGGACACACTTATAACTTATAACTGCCCTAGAATCTTGTCTTCAGACAAGGGCTTGGATTTTTGAACTGTGAGATCTCTGATCAAGCTCTTGAGCCAGACCTATAATTCGAGAGTGCTCAGAATAATTTAACTTCTAACATCACTTTCAGCTTGGAGTTGACTTGATTCTCAGTGGTTTAACAGAAAATTGAATGTATTCTAAATGTAAGTCAGAGTTTCTCTACCTTAGCATTGGCATTTCGGGCTTGAACATGCCTCATCATGGGGGGCTGCAGCCCTGGATGCCAAGGTCCACTTGCTTTAATTGTGACAATGAAATATCTCCATATCTTGACAATGTTCCCTGCAGAAAGCAAACCATCCTTTGGTTGAGAAGCACTGGCCATAAGGGCAAGTAGGGTCAGTAAAGAAGTAAAATCATCAACTTTAATACAATGTCTCTTTAGTACTAAATTATTTTACATCTTTATGACCTCAAGACCATTCCTGATTTTCTGTTTTAAAAATGGTAAAGAAGTTCCGAACTGTGAATATTGTGCTTCTTTCTGTTCACAATCTGTTGTATCTTGCCTATCTAGGCTTAATTTGCATTCCATGACTAGCTTACAGTTTTCATGCCAAAGTATCTGACCTGTCCTCTCGCAAATGGCAAGCCTAAGAATATTTGTGGAACAGTCACTTCAGGAGCATTTATTGTATGTGGGCTTTACAAATAACCACTTTTAACTCGAACTCTGAATTTTAAGTAGGGATCCATGTCAGGGCTACAGAAATGAAATTAGGGAAACTTTCCCACCTTATAAAACAGATGAAATTAATTTTATAACATAAAAACACTCAAAAAATGAGAGACTACCTAAATCTTAATATTTCTTCTCTGAATCCTGAAAACTACTACTTAAACAAATGAACTTTTGTTCCCATCATAAAAATTAAAAACATAAAAAGGCTATTTTTCTAGAGGACACTGCCACCTTTCCTTTTCCTCATCTCCAAAAGAACAGAAATCACCAAGTCTCCAAGAATCATAACCCAAGAAAATGCTGCCTGGGATGTTGGAACCCCAGATCGTGTCCTGATACCTACTGATCTGGCTGAACTTGGACACGGTAAGCCACTTCTTGCTGCCCTCGTCTTCTGAGATGTTATTTTCTTCTGGCTGTGAATCCGACTGGTCATTTTGAGAGCAGGTACTGATTGTTATGATCTGGAAAGAAAGTCACTTGTTGAAACACAGTGATATTAATCTGAAAGCAATTTGAGTCACAGGAATAGAGGCACCAGGCTGAAGAGCAGTGGTCGACATTGGCTACAGCTGAGAATCACCTGGGACTCCGATGGATGCCATCACACAGGCCGGCAGGACACGGCACTCATGTGAGTTCTCTTCACAGTCATGATTAAGAATCAAGCGTGGGACACGAGTCTGTAGACCTAAGCATGTGTTAAAATCATCAGCACTGGTGAAAACCTCAAACCACTGCACCTACCTTCATCTCTCTATTTAGTAGACTGGGAAGAGAAAGAATTCAAATCGCTAATAAAGTTCCCAGCAGAAGTTCATGCTGCTGGAAGGACAGCATATTTTGAGAACTGCTGGTACAGAGGAAAGAAAAAGTGTGTTTGGATGCAAAGAATTTGTACTGGAATTCTACCCTGTTTATTAGAAGCTATGTGGTTTGGGTAAATTATTTAATGACTCTGTGACTGTCCTATATACTTCCCATGGGCAGAAAATACATGCAGTAAGTTGATAAAGCAATACAAAAATACAAGCTTGAGTATTTGAGTGCAGCTCCTAGTTGAACTCTGCCATTTGAACTACTCCAAAAATACATCTACTTAGGCACATATTTCTCAGGATTTCAACAATTCATGACATTCATCCTGGAAGAATACCTTTCCTCATCAAGCTAAATCTGTTTCAAAGAAGTAGTTTTACACAATTGTCTCAGTACTTTTCTCCTCCCTTCTGCTTCCCATTCTAAAATGGGAACTCCAGTATTTTTAAAAATATATCCTGATCAGGCTGGGGATTTTAGCTCAGCAGCTCAAGCACTTGCCTGGTAAGATTATGAGTTCGATCCCCAATATCAAAAAAATATATAGCCTGATGATTTACTTGGAAAAATCAGGGTAAAACACAAAACATAAAGCAAAGTTTTATAACCAGGAGAAGCAAATTCTTGTAGAACAGACCTACGACTTCCTAACAATATACAAGAAGACTCACTGACTGAAGTAGAAAAACAGCATAACAGAAATTGTAGGACAGAGCTAAAACACTGCTTACATGAAATGTTATAGCACTAAATGTCTATATTAGGAAAAAGAAAATCTCAGACCAATGATCAAAGTTGCCACTTTAAAAAACTAGAGAGGGATCAAACTAAACCCAAAATAAACAGAAGAAAGACAACATCAAGGAAGAGAAATCAGTGGACAAGAAATCTAGAAGAAAATTGATGAAACTAAGAGCTGGCTCCTTGAGCAAATCAATAAAAGGGATAAAATAGTAGCCAGACTGATCATGAAACAGGGGAAAAAAAACATGAATTTAAAATTTTAAGAATGAAACAAGAGCCGGGCATGCTGGCACACATCTGTAATCTTAGCACACTAGAGGCTGAGGCAAAAGGATCACCCTGAGTGCAAGGCCAGCCTGGGCTCCAGAGGAGGTTCAAGTCAGCCTAAACTGCATAGCGAGATCCTATCGCAGAAAAAAAAGGATGAAACAAGTGAGGCCTCCAGAAGATGGTGGAGTGATGAACAGCAGAGAAACAGCCTTTCTGAGACTGGCATCCAGAGGCTGGAATATACCGATGTGAGGAAGATAAGCAGGGAAGTGGGTCCCCAGGACCCATCAAGAACTGAAGAGAGGGACCCTAACATAGAAGGAGGAAGTAGCAATCAGCACTTTTCCCTAAGCCCTTAGTTATTACATGGGCAGCTCAAACCAATAGTAACTACTGGAGACCCCAGAGGCCACCACAAATAAACCCATCAGTGGAACGGAGCAGTGGAAACAGGAGACTGCAGTGGCTGGTAAATTATTAGGGTTCAGATTCCACCTCCAGGAGAAGGTAACTAGCTGGTCACCATTTTGGAAAGAGGCCAACAGAGCTGGGGGCTGAGAGCAGATGTGGGCTGGGTCCATGTAGCAGCTCCCAGTGTCATGATGAGGCAGGATTGAGTTCATGTTGGCAGGAGATCAAGGAGCCAAGTTCAAGCTGGCAGGAGGCATGCAGAGTGTTGCAGGCTGAACAACTCAAGTTCCAGCTACACAGCCAGAAACCAGCCTGAAGTTCAGGGGAGCTAAAGGTGCAGACTTACTGGGGTTATCCACTACCCCACCATGAATCTACTGCTGGCCTGCTGGGTTTAATCAACATGTATTTGGGCTCTGTCAGCCTTCTCTACCAGGGACAGCAAAGACATACCATGAAATGAACATTTCTTTTCTTTTTTTCTGCCTTTTTTCCTAGATTGTTTGTTCTTGTTTTAATAAGTGTGAAAAATTATTTTGTTATTTTGAATGTTGCTATTTTGTTCTTTGTTTTCATTTCTTCCTCCAGCCTTGTTTCTAATCACTTCCTCTTCTTCTGTTTCTGTATTTTTCCCCATAACCCCTTTAAGTTTTCTCATGAAGGTAAAAAATCATCATCAGGTATATTTACTGTATTCTATTTTCTGGTTTGTTTTAGATTTTGTTATATAACCACAAATATAGTTAAATGTTACAAAATAATAATATGTGTCATTTTCTAGACTGTGCTCAATGTTTTTGTTATTACTGATTATATTACTTTGGCCAAGGTCACATAATTGTCGTAACCAGTTGTTTTTCCTGGTTTGCCAAGACTGGCACTGTTTGAGGACATAAACATTTGGCACATAAACATCATTATGTGCCAAAGAATCAGGGGACAAGTCAAATAGGCAGCAACTTCTCCTCCCCAGTAAATTGAAAAGATCCTCCAATACATTCAAAACCCAAAGCCAAGCTACACCTGAAAGACCTCTCTGAAAAGTAGTCATTTACTAAGAGTTCTCAATACAAGCAATAAACCTACCTGCCATAAGCAATGTACAATCATCAATCCAGGAATTAAACTAAAAAAAAGTGAGAAGACATAGAAAAAATGCAACCCCAGAATTCCAGTCCATCAAAGTCAAACCTGGGGGCAATCAGGTGGAATAATTTGAAAGCCACCCATCTGTACTCTCTAAGGTGGTAATGACAGAAGTAAGAAAGATAAATGAGGCTCTAGGAAAAAACAAATCAGAAATAACTTCTCAGATGACTCAAGAGATGGTGAACATAAAGAAGGACACGATTAGTGTGACTCCAGAGCAGATATAGATAAAAAATAGAACTCAGAAAAAGAAGAAAATCATGAACTTTCAACATATAAAAGAAACGGAATTTGTGAAGCAAATTTAGATATCTAGGAGACTAAAAATTCCACTGAAAGTATACACAGGAGAATGAGCTGATATAAAGACAGAACATCAGATATAGAAGACAGGATTGAGGTTAGCAATCATGAAAAGAAACATTTTCAATCTAACAGCTGCTAGATGATGCAAAAAAGAATACAAAAGATTAACTGAAGTCAATGAAAAAGCAGGAGCTAGCACAAATGACATTTTTGTTAAAAACCCTGTTCACTGAATTAATGGAAGAAAACTTCCCAAGCCTGGGAAAAGAATTTGACACACAGATAAGTGAGGCTAATAGAATTCCTATTAATCATGATCAAAAAAACTACACCAAGGCATATAATAGTCAAGATTCCAGAAATTCAACACAAGCAAAGGATATTAAAAGCCATTATGAGAAAAGAAACAAATCACAGCAGGCTTCTCAACACAAACCCTCAAATCAAGGACAGTTTGGAGTGAGGCATTTTAAGCCCTACAAAACAATCTCCAACCCAGACTGATGTACCCTGAGAAAATGCCTTTCAGAACTGATGAAGAAATAAGACACTTCTATGATAAAGAGTGCCTGAGGAAATTCATGAGCACCAAACCAACCCTCCAAAATGTTCTGAAGCACATTCTAGAAAGACATAACAAGGATTACAACTCCAAACAAAATGTATCCAACTCCATGAACCCAAACAAAATTTATCCACCAAGAAAGGCAAACAATTAGAAGAGAAAAAGGGAGCCAACAACAGGAAAACATGACAAGCACAAATCAATACACATCAGACATAACCATCAACATTAATTGTCTCAACTCACCAATCAAAAGACACAGACTGACAGAATAGATCATGAAGCAAGATCCAGTAATATGCTGCATAAGAGAAATACAGTTGATTCAATAAGAAATTTGTAGACTGAAAGTCAAAGAATGGAAAACAATACTCCATGTGACAGGAACCTGAAAAAAAGCAGGGTAACTATAATATTTGCAGACAAAGTGGATTTCAAGCTACGACTGATTAAAAGAGACAAAAAGATTGCTATACATCCTTGTAAAGGGAACAATCCAAGAGGAAAAGATAATATTCGTAAGTATATGTGCAACAAATACCAGCAGGCCCATCTATATAAAACAAATATCAATGGACATGAAAAATCAAAGAAGCACTAAAACAATTATAATGGAGGACTTCAGGACTCTACTGTCACCAATAGATCAACTAGACAAAATATCAACAAAGAAATGTCAGAACTGAGCCAAACTTTTGAACAAATGGACTTAATAGATGTCTACACAATGTTCTACCCTATGACATCAGAATATACATTCTCAGCTGCACAAGGGACATTATCCAATGTAAACCACATGCTTAAGTAAATGCAAAGGAACTGAAAGTATTCCATGCACATTAGGCCATAGTTTAATGAAATTAGAAATCAATGGCAAAAGAAACCATAAGAATTTTACAAACACATGGGAATTAAATAACGCTTTCCTAAACAACTAATGAGTTAGGTTAAAGAAGAAATTTCTATAGTTTCTACGATTAAATGATAATGCCAATACAACATACTGGAATGTATGAGATGCAACAAAAGTAGTCCTACAAAGGAAATTCTCGTATCAAAAAAACAGCAACCTCAAATAACCTAACATTGAATCTCAAGTTTCTAGGAAAAAAAGAGCAAGCCACACTCAAAACTCATGCAAGGGAAGAAATTATAAAGATCAGAGCAGAAATTAATGCATTGAAGGCTAATAAAACAAAA